TGCGTTTTCACTTTTCTTTGTAGACGAGGTTTATGATCTGAAACGACTTGGAAAAAAAAATCGTAACGCGACTACTGGCAACCGAACAATGTAACTACTCGAGAAATAATACGCTTTTAGTTACGTCAGAGATTTCGTTAAACATTTTCCAAAGAAATATTAACAGTGTAATAATTTGTAACAGCGCGTCGACCTCCACAATTCGCCATTTTCGCCTAAATAAAACGGTTTTATTGCGTAACGCATCGGCTAATAAACGATCACTCTGTCACAAAAATAAGTACACTGTAAACCAAATAAATTCGTACAACTCTCAAGTATTATACTACAGAGGAATTGAAACAAAACTATTGCACGAAGAAAGCTTTCGTATTAACCGATAAATTTATTCCATCGAACAATGTAATTACATTGTTCCAGTCCCTTTTGTGCTAATTGTCGCATTGTCGATGAACATTCGAATCTGTCTGTTAAAATTGAAATTGAAAATTACCTTTTGTCTCGTTCGAACCGGTTCGATTCTATTAGGGCATTAAGAGATACGTGATGTTCTTTCTTATTCGCATTCGATGCACGGCTAATTAAAAACGAATTAGGCGATACGAAATGCCTCGTGAGAAAATGCACGCATTAAAGTCAACATTAGATAAGTATATAAAATGTTAGTTTACGAAACTTAAACGATAAGGGAATCGTTGGAACTAAATCTAGTATAACTTTTTTAGTAACCAAACTGGATGTTTTTAATTAAAAACTGTAGGTATATGGCTGCATATCCGAATGATATAGGGCACCGGGGGCTATTTTGAACTCGGGACAAACCAACAAACTAACACCGACAGGGCATGCCTTAATGGCCCGGCATGTCCCGACATAATGTACCGGTTAATAACCGCTATTTATCAACGAGACCGTGCCCACCGTGCGCGTAGACACGACCGACGACCGATAGCAATACGGTCCGGCGGATCCGCGGCGAATCGCCAATTGCATATTGTTACGGTGGATATTTGCTATACGGTTTTGTTGCTTTTTCTCGTTTTTTTTTTAGATGTATCTGTACAGGCGTAGAGAGAGGAAGAGCGGCTAATAGAAAAATTGACGGGAGTTGAGTTTGTTGTGGAACAATGGATCCGTTATTTGCCGATACGATGAGAGCTTTTATGAAACGCTATACCCAATTATTTTTTCGATATAGGTATTGTTTGGTACCTAAACTATACAGGGTGTTCCTAAATATCGTGTACATCCGAAAGGGGGTGATTCCTTGGCTTATTTTTAACAAAGTTATAACAAAGTTGTCTTTGTTGCACCAATATTGCATACAATTTTGTACTTTTGTGTATACCTACACTAATATAAGATGCTCTCTTCGATAAACGTAAATTAATACAATGCAAATTTCTCTTTATATATATTGCAGTTTTTTCCATCAATTACCGTAGAAAGTTTAATAACAGAGCTTTTAAATAAATTTTACATCGCGACCTCCGGGCCGGGGCAGTTTCATTAAATTTCCAACGAACACACTTCCTATATATTACAACTCGAGGCGGTCCGTATAATACTCCTTTAATTTCACCTTTCTCATTAACCGAATTAAACGGTATGTCCCTGCATAATTTAGTATGCGCGACTATAAACAAACAATTGATAAGAAAAGTTTGTAGTTGAAGCGAACCCAAGTGGGCTTGGGGTGGCGTTTAAGAATGAACAGTTGAAAGCGGCATTCAAATTGGATTCCATGCAATAAAAGATCAACGTTAGGCTATTAAGTACACGGAGGATAACGTTGGCAGGGCACGCAATGCGAAATAGTATATCACTTTAAATACCTCCCTGTTGTATATACCTTTACGGGGCTTCCTTTCGCCTTTGATATGCAGGAATCCCTTGATTTCCTTAATAATGCGACGGAATTGTGTATAACGGTATTTTTAGGAAATTAAACAGATAAAATTGAATTAAACGACTACGCAACTTTGTATCAAATTCCTTCCATAATTGTCTTAAGTCTTAACCTTGCACTACTAATACTTTTTTATAGGGGAAACCCAGATAGAAAGCGCTAAAATTTGCCCAAATTTAGCGAGGATAATTTTTCATTATCGAATAATGTAACCGGCGGTTAATTGGCGTTGCACTATTACGATAAAGGTAATCGCAATAAATTAAAGACCGTATGCGCAACATTTACAAAACTCGATTGATTACGGTATAAATCACCGGCGACCGCGCACGAAAATTACATCGTTACCTGGACTTTGCATACGCATTATTTACCGAAAATAAAAATAAAAAAATTCGTACCCGGCAAATCGGACCTCCAGCGTTTACCGAGAATTTATCGCCCGTTAATTTTTATACTACTAAATCTAATTGAAGAAAGTGCACAAGGCGCATAATCTAGCTCTCGAAAAACGAGTTCCAGATGAATGATTTATGGTTGTTTTTTTGGAACACCCTCGGGCATCGGGCATTCTGTCCAGGTGAGTCAGGAGCCATCGAAAATTATTTACTGTTACATCATCTTCATCCAGATATATTTAATAACTTTAACGGTGCGTATAAACGAAGAGATCCGTATCATCAGTCGTCAAAAAAAGCGACGAGAACGTTAATGCGCCCAAATAAATTCGTTAACTTTTACTTTATGTGACATTTATCTCCCGTTTGGAATAAATTTGAATATTAAACGTTGCAACAGAACGAATTTATGTTAATTTTTCTTGTATGTAAGCGGACTATTGTTGAGTAGAACTTGTAATAAGGTGCTAAATAACTATCGATTTTTTTTAATCGCGAATCAAATTAGGTAGTAATCGATTTGAATTTTAAATTAGTTATACTTACGAGATAGTAATCGCTTATAAAAACATGCCTATAAATCGACCTTAACTACCAGTTAATCGCGTACTAATCAATCATGCACGTTGTAATCGATTAATTAATTAATTAGAAGCTGACATGACACGACCTTTCTATAATACCTTCCAATAAATGCGCAAAAATGGCGCTTCAAGCTATAATGTTTAATAACATTTATCAAGTTGGTATTAGTTGTAGATGACATTTCGTATCCAACAGTCAATCATATGATCTAATATTTTACAAGCAATTCCAATCACCCCATTCGCAATCCATTAGAACAAACCAAAGAAAAATTTGATCGAGTCGAAGAAATTACACGAGATGGACGTGCTAATGAAGCTCCCATTTTTCCCAATCCTCTGGTTCCTGGAGTATCTGCCGGCGTTTTTCCGCTTCACGCTGGCGGCGTGCGTGTTGCTGAAGATGATGCGGGACGTGTACACCTACAACAACCGAACGAGCCCGAACGGGGTGCTGAAGAAGCCGAAGGAATTCGCCCGCACGTCGAGGGATTCCGCGTACGACGTGCCGCCCTGCTACAAATACTTGATACCGCCGCATCCGAGCAGAGATTGGGCGGTGGGCGGTCAGAAAATGTGAATTTCCACCGGATATGTGGGTTGTTTTCCGTGGTAAATTGACGGTGTTTTTGATCAAGAACGCAATGCAAAAATGTATCTAACATTAAACAAGTAATCGATTTTGTTGGTTAATTATTTGGTGATTTTAAGTAACACAAATTCCGAGATGTTTTGAAACTTTGCATTTAGTGTTTCTACGAAAATGTATTTGTACAGTTGACCCCGGCGAGTCATCGGAAACATCAAATTCAACCTGCCGAGTTTACCGAGAAAAAAAGATTCATCACTTCGCCTGAAAGCGTTTTAATCTTTATTATTCGTACATTTCCAATGCGTTTCCATTTAAACGCTCGCTCGCTGGCTCGTTTTAAAACCCATAATATTTTAATAAATAACCAGTTTCATCGATACGTTTACAAAAGCACAAAAACATTCCTCGGGACGCACGAAACTCGGGGCGAAAACGTAATGGAAAATGGAAATGAATGTGGGAAATCTTCGTCTACCGATGTCAAGTTCATTGCAGTTGGCGTGCTGCAGGGCCGTAAAACTCAATTGGGTTTTTGACTTTGGCTCGGCGCGAGAAAGAAGGAAACCCGAAAACGGAACGACGTGATCGGCGCGAAGGTGAAATTGAATTACGGTTCGATGAAGGCAAAGAGCATCGCGCGTATTGCGCCGTAAAAATGTTTATTAAATAATAAGATGATTTGGATTGATGTATAGATAAAAAATTGTACAGTCGAGTTCAAGGAAAACCTGCTGATGCCAATATGTAGAGGTCATTATCAAACGTTCCAAAATTGCAAGGTTCCATAGTTCCACTTTATAAAGTTGCAAGGTTCCAAAGTTTCACGTTGTACTGTTCCAAAGTTCCACTTTCTAAAGTTGCAAGCTTTCAAAGTTCCACGTTTTAAAGTTCCAAATTGCCACGGTCTAATGTTCCAACGTTCTATTGTTCCAAAGTTCCATTTTCTTAAGCTGTTAAGCTTCCAAAGTTTCATGTTCTAAAGTTCCAAATTGTCACGGTCTAATGTTCCAACGTTCTATTGTTCTAAAGTTCCACTTTCTGAGGCTGTAAAGCTGTAAAGCTTCCAAAGTTTCACGTTTTAAAGTTGCAATCTTCCAAAATGTTACTTTCTAAAGTAACGTTACATTTGGAACATTTCAAAAAACACCTCTACTAAACCGATTTTTTATACCACTCATTTTTTAACCTCCGCTTAAGCGCTAGGTGAACTCACGTTTAACTTTTCCCAGTGTGACACGAATGTGTCCCTATCTCTAATCTTCGTTTAACATAAATCACATTCTTATACTAAGTATGTCGAGACCAGTCCCGTCCCTATATGAATTCTTCTCGCCGGTATCTAACATCTTTATTGCTCGCGGTTTCTCATTTACAAGCTAAACATTTCCTCGGTAACGAAAGGATATTTAGTAATTCGATATAACTGTTTACATCTAAAACCCGCGCCCTTGATTTCATATTTAACACACTCATTATTTCTCGTTAATAAAACAATAAAACAGCGATTTTCGTTCCAGTTGGAGAACATCAACGTCTGCCTGTCGTTCCTCCGCAGCCAGCATGTCGCCGGCGTCGAGAGCGTCTCGGCGCAGGAACTGCGAGACGGCAAGCTGAAGGCGATCCTGGCGCTGTTCTTCGCCCTCTCGCGCCACAAGCAAGCCGCCAAGGCGGGCCGCCACCAGACGTCCTCGCAGGCGCAACAGCAGCAACAGCAGGAGATGACTCCTAATAGGTAGGCAAAACGGTATACATGCGATATTTTGGCGGAAGCGCTCGTCGGTGTATTACTGGTTGCGCCGATTCGAATTTTTGGCGGACGCGCTCGGTTTATTGGGATTTTGTGCGTTGAAAAATTGGGTTTGTAAATAGATTGTATGTGGAATTTGTTCGTTAACTATTGGAGATTTTAAATAAAAATAATACATCACTAGCTAGTTTAAAAAAAAAGGGGAAAATGAGCGAACATTATTGCCCAATTTTGCGGATTTGTACATTGGTTCATAAACTATTGGAGACATCACTAGCTTGTTAAAAAAAAGGGGAAAATGAGCGAACATTATTGCCCGTTGTTTTCGAAAAATATTATTAATTCCCTGCGTTAATTTATTCATTTTCAACGCGTTGTAACTTTGGAAACAATGGACACTTGAGAAGGCGAATGAGTTCGAGAAATTAATTGTGTTACCGGCGTTAACCGGTTGTTCGGCGAAATGGGAAAAAGTTCTCGAGCACACCTGCGGTAATAACAAATAGCAAACAAACAAATTTCCATAACAAAGGGCGCGTTGTTGTGGTATTGTTATGAATAAAGGGTTCTCGGAGTTTTTATCGGAAGGATCGTCTACCGTTAGCATGTAAATTTCATTTACATGTCCCGTGTTTGGATGGAAAAAGATGTAAAATATTTTTTTAATTAGAATATTTTACCTAGAAATTCTAAACAGTTAAGGAAGTTGACAAATATTGAGATTAATTTAAAAGTTGCAGGTTTTTTTATCGCCAAATTTAGTATGAGTTGTAGAGGTAGGGACAAAAAATCCACTCAGATATGAGAGAAAACATTTAATTTCGCATATTTGAAAATTTGGTGATCAAAAAGTCTGTAACTTTTAAAATAATCGCAAAATTTGCGAACTTCTTTAACTTTTGTGGAGCAGTTTATTTTTAATATACGAATAATAGGTAATTTCGAATGATTGATAATTATAATAGTCTCCCCTTTCAATCGACGGTAATTGTACCGGATATTCCTGCAATAACTGCCCATCCATTTCCGCAGGGAATTACATTATACGCCGGTCTTTTGCAGTGCCGTGGAACTCTATAAATCATTTCTGCATTTCTCTATAAATCACAAATCATTTCTCTAATCAAACCCAAATTAAACTCACTTCGCGAGCTCGAGCTCGATATCTTCCTTCTCCTAACATCTCCAATAATTCAATCGAGATTTATGAGCACCATTCGAGTAATAATTAATCTTAGCGTTTGATATAAAGAGATTTGGGCGCTCTAGTAGTTAAATTTAGGTAGCGACGCTGAAGCGTCGGAACAAATCGACGATGAAATCATTTTTTGGGCCGTATCCGGTAACTCTGCAGTGATTTATTCGGCAATTTGGGCAAAAAGTGGCCGAATGTAACGGAAAAATGCGCACCGACCGGTGCACGGATGATAAATTTCGTACTCCGATGGGAAATTATTGCGAAATTAACTGCCGGTACGGGTAATTTTCGCGTTACCTAGCATGTGGAACATATCTACATGCACTTTGTCTTCTTTATTTTTATTTGTTTTGAAAGTATTATTGTGGTAAAAGTTATTCGCAGATTCTGCTGTATAATTGTTTCGATTAGAGATTATGAAGGCTGGTTTTATTAAGGAATCAATTAAATCTAATTGAAATCCCGCTTCCCTTCCAGTTTAATTGCATCACAAATCCGATTAAAACTTTTTGAAATTAATGCCGGTTCTAATCAATTCGCGTAATATTTTAATTAATTTCCATAACTACCCGAAAATAATAGAAACTTTTTTAAATTACATCCAAAAAAAATCGCCTCATTATATTTTCAATTAATTTCAACAAAAGAAAATCTCCCGAAATCCGCTTACTAAAATATAATACTCGTACATAATCGCGTCTCCAGTTAAGCGTAATTTTTTAAACCTCTCTTAATTTTAATCCTGATAAACTCCTAATGCCTATTACATTATAGGTATAGGAAAGTATTTTTGTGGAATTCTCACTTCATATCTTCCAAATCCCCAACTTTCCGACGTGCATACAGCACTCGGCAAACCGTTAATATAATTCATTCGCCTCTCGGGACGACGAATTATGATTAGGCAGTTTCGCAGGAGCAGGAGCGGCCGGTCCCTCCGGCTCCCCGTGCAAAAGGCTCCCCCGGCGGGGCCCCCGCGTACGCGCCGTCGCGGATTTTCCGCCCGGAACCCGAAACTTTCTAATTGGCTCGATGAATTTATTGTACTCGGGGCGTTTGTTACATATTTGCGATTCAAGAAGCGAGCTATATCGCTATAAAAAATATTTTTTCTTAGTGTAATTGCGATCGAACGTTCGCTACACTAGAAACAATGGTTGCTTAAATACACCCGCGCCGAAAGTATTTCACGTTTCGTTGATTACAGCGGTTGATATTCGAAATAATAAGATCCTTTTCGGTTGGTTTTTCCGACCCCCACATACCGGTGTATTTTCCGGGCCGCTGTCCCGAATATGAGTTTTACATTTTTACGACCCCCATATCGTCGGGCTCCGATGTTCGGAACGTAATGGAAAGATATGAAATTTCTGGAAAACGTTGCGAGGTGACGGGCCGCTTGTAAATTTCGAAGGATCGTTTACGACTCGGGGGGGGGTACACGGGGAGTTTAGGTTTTACGACTTTTCGGCCCCCTCGAATATACAAGGTAATTGCGCTACTTGTGTTTCGAGTTATGCGAAAGGGCGACGAAGTTTTCGCATTTTCACGCATTTTCGTTTAAGAAGGATTTTCACGCTTGGCATTACAATATTAAATGTTGTTTCGAATCGAAAGTTTCACATTTATGAAGACAGAATATGATGAGATTTATGCTTTATTGATCTTTTTAAGCCGTTATACTATGTGTACATAAATCATCTTCATCATGGTCATCATAATTTATCGTCTAAAACTTTTAAAATCCTCTCAAATCCTTCCGAAATCCATGCCTGAGAGATTTTACTTTAGCATTATTACAATTTCATCGCGTTAGAATCAATAAATCTTATCGGTTTATACACTTATCATTAGCCCTAATAGAGCTCAATTACATCCAAAGGAGCTAGGCCAATTAAGCCATTGTTTCGAATCGAAAGCTCCGCATTTATTCGGATCGATCGTAAAATCCTTCAAAGTGCTTTACGGCGAGCACTTTTGCTGAAAGTACTCGGATCGTAAATTTTCTATTTATTGCACTGAAAAAATTTTGGTACATAATATCAATGAACACCATGTTTTCAACTTGTTTTCATTAGCTCAATAAAATAATACATTAATCCAATAAATTTTCATTCATTAGTTAATGAATTCATTTATTAACTCAATGTTTCTTGTAACATTAATTATTAATGTAAAATTTCATTAACTCAATAACAATTTTTATTAATTCAATGAAATTTAATCATTAATATAATAACCTAGTACATTAAAAGCGAATATTTCAGTTAATGTATTCGATACATTAAATCAAAGTAACTTGTACATTAATATAACGAATTGTTCATTCTTTTAATGAAATTTAATTATTGAACCAAAAACATTAATACATTAGTTCGATAAACCACATTCGTCATTTTTTATGTTGCCCGTACATTGATTCAACAAATTGAGTACATAAATCCTATGTTCGAGTTCATTGAGCCAATGAACGCATATACATCATTAGTTCGATAAAACACATTCGGCATTTTTAATGTTGCCTGTACATTGATTCAACAAATCTAATACATAAATTCTATGTTCGAGTTCATTGAGACAATGAATGCATATACATTGGTTCGATAAACCACATTCGCAATTTTTTATGTAGCCCGTACATTGATTCAACAAACTGGATACGTAAATTCTTGTCTCGAGTTCATTGAGTTAATGAACGCTTTTCATTAAGTCAATGAATATCAGTTTGGATTTTGGCAATACACACTAGAGTGCAAATCTATGCCGTTCTATTCTATTAGAAAAAAAGAAATAGATAGAGACGCTTTCGAAAATCGCGTTGACCGTTAATTACCCCTCTTTCTCTCCTGTTATTTCGTGTTGAAGCGTTGAACTGGAAGTGTTCTGTTTAGTTAATTTCGTTTTCGTTTTGTATTATAAGAAGGAAGAAAATTCAAGCGCTGTTGTTTTAAGAGGTAAGCATTTTTTAATTCGGTACACTATAGGTTAATACTTATACATTTTATTTCTAGGATTTAATTTTAAACATAAACGTAAAGCCTAAGGGAGATATAAGTGCAACAACTTCAAGATTCATACAAAATGTGTGTAAGTTTTTATGGTTTTTACTACAACTCATTAAATTATTGGATATATTAAATTTTTAGGCCCCAAAGACATTTGTGAAACGTGCATAAGACTTCTGAAGTTTGAAAATTTATCATCGGAAGAGTTCGACGTATGCAGCATGTATTGGAACTTCGCTTGAGTGACATAAAAAACGCACAAAAATTCAGATGATAAAATGAACTTATTACAAACGACCATCTGGATATAGCTTGGTGAGTACCTTCAATAGTATACCTACCTATACACCGTGCTTCATTCGCGATTGCAACATGGTCATTTCTATGAGTGGAACAAAAGAAAGATTAATAAAATAACAGTTGTCAGAGTGAAAAGTTGCAATGACATAATATCATACTGTTTCTTTTTCCTTTACAAGTGTCTAATTGAAGTTATCTTTGTTGCACCCATAGCCTATGTTGCAATCTATATACTTACTGGATATGTAGATAGGAATTTACAGTCTACTATATTAACCCATAATTTTTTTTAGATCGATATGGATTTCGCCCCAGCGTATGATGCAAAGAATTTTATGGAATAATTCGAAAATAATTCTTCGAAGATTGACCAGTTTCTTCTAGCAATAATACAAAAAATGTAAATTCGTTAATTTAATAAATCAAATTCATTAATTCAATGTACTGCGTTCATTAATTCAAAAGCTAAAATTCCTTAATTC